TCCAGGGTTTGCTCTGATTGTGGCGATTCAGGTGGAGTTGTTTCCACCTAACATTCTAGTACATTCTAGAACATTGCGTATTGTTCTAGAACTGGTTTTGTGGTTAAATTGATTGACGTTTTCAAGCTTCGGATGATAAAACTGCTGAGTTAGCACATAAGTCAGTGAAAAAAGGAGATTAGGATAAAACCACGATTCAATAATAGATCAGCCTGTCCAGCTAAGTAATTGAATTAACGTTCAAGGAAACTCATGAAGAGTGCTAAATACTTTGTTATGTTTGGAACATGTGGACGTTCTGTAGACGAACATTAACATAGTCTAAGGGACGAACCATTAGAAATAACCCGGGGGGGGGGGAATGTTTGGTGCATTGGTTCAGTTACGGCATTTATTCAATCGCCCGCTTCAACTGTTAAATTTTTTTATACCTTTCAGGTCCAGCAGGTGGAGGAAGTGTTGACTGGGTGTACGGCCAGCTTGGTGTGAAATATTCCTACGCTGTGTCCATGCAAGATCGGAGTGGAAGGGGGGAGCGGCTTGTCTACGTTGGAAAAGGACTGCTCCAAGGATTAAAGGCATTTGTTAAAGCAATGCAATTGTAATTAAAGAATCGACCTGAGATGCATGATTTAAGTTGTACCATTAACTCTTTCAATCCCACGAGTAAATTAAACCACCAGCCCAAAACCACTTTTCTACTGCTGAACGACCCAAAAAGTGATAAAGTGAGGGTGGCGCAGTGGTGAGAGCACTCGCCTCCCGTTAATGTGGCCCAAGTTCGAATCTTGGCGTCGAGAGCCATGTCGCCATACGTGGGTTGAGTTTGTTGTTGGTTCTATCCCTCACTCCAAGAAGTTTTTCTCCTGGGGTTCCGGTTTTCCCCTCTTCCCAAAAACCAACTCTTTCAAATTCCAATTCTATCTGGAAAACACGGATACGTGTTAAAAGGTTCTTAAGAACTCCTAAGTGCTCCGCGTATAGGTAAACAAATGGATTTCCAATAAACTTTTAGTGTAAATGCTGAGCAACATGTTGTTTCACTTCATGGCTTTTGCGTACATGCACCACAGCCAAAGTTATAGAGCATCAAACACGAAGGAGTGAGACCTTGAAAAATGAATGGGAGCCTCTTTAAATTTATCCAAAACCAAGAGCCATAAAACTCAAAGTTAGAACTAGTACTGAGGTTGATTATACAAAGCACTACAGGAACTGAGTACTGCTTGCTTATCATTGTGTAGCTTTCTTCTAAATGGTGACTTAGGATTTCATCCACAAAGGCTAATTAAAAGGGCGTCGAGCCAACACTCAATGTAAGAAACAGTACAACAGAAAAGAATTGCTCTAGCTGTAGCCTCCATCTGAATGATCCACAGACTCAAAGTTGCCTTTATTTAGTAACCAGGGGCCCCCAACGCCTTTTTTCGGTAAAATATCTGTTCGAAGGAGCAAATGATTAGTAAGGCTTAAAGTTTCTGGTCAGGATAACCATGCCCGAATTAGGATATTCGGAGGTTGCGTTTTTCACGCCTGATTTTATTTCCGAGGAAAATCCGGTATTGTTATAAGGCCTCCTGAAAATTGCGGTAGAAAGACATAACGTCTCTTAGAATTTTATAATAAAAGCATAGCTACTTCACGCTCTTTCGACCGGGGAGTGACCCATGTGGCAGCGAACAGGGATGAGATCAGCCTAGTCCCTAGGCGTCCTCTTTTGACCCGTTGTCCTCCCGAAGTCTGGGAAAGAGCGGGCGAGAGAACGTTCTCGGCGAATTCTCGTCGAGTATCTCTCGGTGACGTCACAGCTCACGGTAGAGTCCAAGATTGACCGAGCTAAGAACGTCTAGGGACTAGGTTGAGATGAGATGAAAAACCACCCAAAACTTTCGAGATGACCAAAGTTCCCATAAGACAGCAAAATTCGGAACAGATAGGTAGTTTTTAGGGCTGCCTCAAAAACTGTATTTGGAAACATTCGGTCGTTGATTGCCCCTAATCTACTCTGGGAATAATTAAGAAACGTGTCAAGGAAGAAAAGAAAGGAATTATATCCTATATCATGCATAATTGAATAGTTCCTTATAATTATCAACGTTTCTGCGTCGTTTTTTATGGGGAATAACTATAAATAGCTGGTAATGAACATTTGGGCAATCTAAAATAGCTACGGGACACTTTTTCGCCAGAAAAATGAATGCCTTTTGTCAACACGCGAGAAATGTAGTAAGGGTCGAAATTTCATCTTAAAAGAAAGCATTATAGTAACTTAAGACTCCACCATCATACGTACACCAAAAGGGACCATGGAAAGCGTATGTATTATATTACACAGAGTATAGTCCTTGAATTAAAAATTCGTCTTTTATTAGAACAAAATACTAAAGAAATCAAAACAGGACATTATTTCAATTTGTCTCTAACTTACACAAAGCCGTTATTCCGTGGACTAACACTCAAAAGTTATACATTTATCGAAACAGTACCCTAAATTCAACAAAACTCCAACAACAAGTTTATTCAGCATTACTATTTCTATAGGTGGTGTTACCGATTGAAATACGATAACAAGCAAAGAGAGTTAAGGAAATACGCATATGAATGATTTGATTTATTTAATTTTCATATTGCTTCTTTCGTCTTTCAAATGCTTAGTTAAAAAACTGACGAAAGTACCCGGCAGTCAGCCTGAATTCAGGGTCCGGAAGGGTTTTTTCCCGCGATCCGGGATTTGACCAAATTAAAGTGCGGGATTCGGGAAACATTAACGGGATATTGGGTTTTAACTGTTACGGGAGGCAGGATTCGCCAAAATTTAGGCACGAATACGGGATTCATGGCGAAAAACACGATTTGGCGGACCTTTCTTTCCATTGGCCTGTTTCAAATTCCCGATAACGTTTCCGCCCCGAAAAGCTATTTCGTCTTTGTCATGTTTGCAACCAAGATCAAGGTTCCAATAATTTTGAAAATGATCTAATAAAAACATCAGTTCACGAGGCAAACTTGACTGGTTTGTGAGCTAGGAGCTGCTCTACTATTCAACAGGTTTTGACTTCAAAAATTTGCCTTCGGGCCCAAAAATTTTCGGAGACTTTCGAGAAACGGGCCCCAGACCCTATATATTACGAATAACTAATTTGCTGTCTATTCAAAACAGAAAGTGACGTCTACTTAGTAGCACCGTGAGCATCGACATAAAACGGCTTTCGACTATGTTATAACAAACTTTTTTAGGTTTCTGCTGTGATATACAAAAGGATGACTTTCCATGTTATATAATACTCTCATACGTACTACATTATTCAAGTACACTTTACCCCAGCGTCCAACAAGCTGGGTTTCTTAGCCAAAATTCGTAAATAAATGGGAATGGCTCAACGTTAGATAACCTTCACTCCCATGAGATATATATTAAATATTGATATTTTTTTAACTCACTCTGCCTAGCTTGTTGGGCCACAACGTTGCTGACCATGGATCGTTGTTGGCATTCCGAATCGTTCCTATATTGATCTCTCATTTGTATTTCTTGTGATATTCAAAGGAGATCAGGCTAGAGTATAAATTAAACTGATATCCTTCCCATCATCCCATTCGTTTTGTGATATCACGCTGGTCACCCGCGGCCTTAAATCAAAAGAGACCACTGGAGGCCAGTCAGGTCGAGATGTAAATATTTGACGAGTGAAGTGATAAATAAGATTAAAAAATGCAAAGTCTTCCTCCTTTATATACGTTGAACAGAAAACTTGATATACGACACACCCCTCTTCTAACTTAGGCTGGATATTTCCCTCACCCCACCCTTTTGGAGCTAAGGTTGCTAGGGCTCACACACACAGCTTTCAAAGTGAAATACGACAGCTTGATGAATAGAAAATGGCCTTATACCCCATCTGATTATATTCCTACTTATGGGGTAGTTTAGAGGCCGCCATTTTGGAGCCATCATCGTCTTCCTTTGTCGCGGGCCTGGCTAAACTCATTACTAAAATTCTACGCAACTAAAGAACCACATAATTGTTTTTATACACCAATATGGCAGCCGTTTTAGTTTATTAGCATTTCAATATGGAGGACGTGACGTCATGAGAAAACGATCTATAAATGAAACTGTAAACTACAGATATTTGGCTCAGACTAAGTTTGGCTAAGACCAAATTGAAATTTCTAAAACTGGAGTAATTTTCACTCAAGTACAGACAGAGATTTTGTTATTTCTTTGATTTTGCACTGGTTTAAAGGAGCTGTGTCACGAAATTCAGCCAAATTAGACAATTTCAAAACGCCTGTTAAATTAAGCGAAACATAAAAATAACAGCTTAAAACTTTAACTGAAGGTTAAAATAACATAACAGAACAACGGATGCCACGGATGGGTAAAACTGAAAGAGATTGTAATTGAAACGGATTGAAATTAGGGTTTTTGAAAACTGTTCAGCCTAACAGTTTTTCAAAGTTGATCCCTGCTGCTTGCAACTTCAAAAATAATGCTCAGGAGACATATTTGTTTATCTCGGATCTCTGATTTTGTCATTTACATGTAATTTCTTTGCTTACTTTAAGTTCCATACCAACCGAGGGCGAGTAATTGGCAAAATTAAACAAAATGAACTGGACTACCGTGACACAGCCCCTTTAATTGTGATTGACTGAAAAAGCACGTGTTCTTTTCTTAACCAATCAGGAGCTGTAGTAAAACAAAATCAATCGTAACTTGCGAACGTAATATATTCACTTTGAGATTTGATTGGCTCATTTGAGTTGATTGGCCAGAGGATGAATAAGGGTTTTGAATCAACGACTCTGTCAAAAACAAACCTTTAGTCCTTATTCGCTGACATGTTTTGTTGCCTTAATGTAAATCAAAAGTGTTTGTGCACGACGGCGCATGAACGTATGTCTGAATCTAGAGGAAAGCTCACTTGAGCATCGTCACACTATTTACATCGCCGCAACAAAACTTGGAAAGCGAGTAAAGATCCCCTTTATCTAATTTATACCACACGGCAGATTCTTCCTTCGTCCTCTTCATTTTCTTCCCTGCTTTGGTTTGTTTGGCCGAATTTCTCTTCCAGTTTTCTGGCAAAGAGAGTCAGCCCCACCTGCTTTGAAGCGTCGACTAACTTTAAAATGGTGCCATTTTCCTTTTCCCCAAAAGCGGTAAGAAATTTCTCTGCAGGGTTGTCAAATCGACTCCATTGTCGACTTTCTTGTAAGAATCCCAGGTTTTCTGAAACTAATTGGTAGTGGTAATAACCTAAATTGACAAAGAACAAAAATGTAATTGTTATAACTCATCAACCCATCAAATTTCCATAGACCCATTTATTTACTTCCAAAAAAACTGTGGACAGAAGCCTGAGATGAACGCTACTGGATTATAATACTATTCAGAATGGTTCTAACTTTTAAGCCTGTGAACGAAACTGAAAAATCGTTAAGTTTAAACACTAAAATGAAAGCACTTCTTTCCTGTGGTAATGTTCACTAGCGCTTTGGATATCGATGAAATCCTATGGTGTGACCATTCAAATGAAAGCTACTGAGCAGTACTTTCCTGTGATACTGATTATTACGCTCTACAAAGTGTATGGTTCCAAATTTTGATTCTTTGGATGAAATCCTGATGTGTGACCATTCAAAAGAAACTTGATGGCAGCTGTCTTTCCTCATCGACTAATGTTTTTCTGGGAAGCCCTTGGGAGTAAAGAGGCACACATGCTTTAAGTTGTTTAAATTGTATTAGAGAACACAAATAGTTGACGTAGGAAGCGTAGTCTCCAGATAATGGGAGGAGGACACGAGAAAAAGCAAAGTGGCTGTAAAACGGCTTGACAGATTGAGATCTTAGCGGAGGCACCAAGAACACAGAACATAGCCAGTTTCCTATAAATTAGAGCCAGTAGGCTATTTCAGAGTTGTTCCAAGCCTCTGTTTCAAAGTGAGGCTAAGTGCGAGAGAAGCTATACATGAAAATGATTTTTACATTCTCCCACAAATAAAACTCATTTTCACAAGAGAGGTTTTGCTCTTAGCCTCGTTTTGTAAGTAAGGGTTTTTGAACTTGGAAATGGCCTATTTTTTACCTCCGAAAAATTTCGTTCAAGCTTTCCATGAATGGTTTCAATTCGCCTGTTATTCGCATAAAACAAATTAAAGACTAAGAAAACTTGCAGTTTACCATCTGTGCCTTTTTCATTAAGCCAACTTGAGATTTTCCGCCTATCCTCAACAACTAGATCTCGGACCAACGTATCTAAGCCACCTGGAGAAAAAAAAAAACTAGCCCACCTGAACACATAAATAAGCTAATGCATACATATACTTATAATAGGGATGAAGAATATCGAGTTAATACGAAATGTTGTTGACAATTTGATAAGAGTTTCAAGTGAGAAATCAACTCAAACTCAGAGGAATTTTCTTAGCCTGCGTAGCTGGGGGATCGTTAGTAGGAGCTACGAAGCCTTGCAAAGAATCGGGAGGAGACGCTCTGAATTTCCTCGCGCCTTCGGCAGTCGCTTCCTTCATGCATGCATTGGCGCCGGCTTTGCCGCCAAAACTTTCACAGGCGCCAAAAACAATTCCACTAGCTACGCAGGCTGCGAAATTTTCCTGCGGGCTAGCCCAGTGAAAAAAACATTGCTCTGACTGATAAATCTTAACTCGAGGAGAGTGATTGACTGGTGATAGTGTCATGGATGGGGAGGTTGATATCTTGGACTTGGTTCTTCAGAGCATTAGTACAAGCATAACGTACTGATTCGTCTGTTAAGAAGTTTAATTAATGACTTATGGTCGTTACCCCTTGCATTTTACATTGCAGGAATAAGAATAGAGTTCTCTCTACTTCTGTAGTTTCTAATACTAAGACCATAGAAACTAAATTCTGACGCTTAAATCAGTAACTTACGTGATCTACGTGACATCAGAGGACAGGTCTGTTCAACCTTTCTGGCATCCTTTTTCTCAGGCCTCCGACTCTTTCGTCTTTTGCAACAGAATACAGCAATTCCTATTATTGGGATCAAGGCAAAAAGGAGGAACAACAAAAACAATAGCTTGTTTTCCCCCGTTGCTTTCTCGGGTACATCATTCTTTACGTTCTCTTGTGCGGGAAGTTTTGTCACTGTGACTGCATTTGGGGAAGAGCTGCTACTTGAACTGTTTGTAGTCTGTTCTTGGACAGGAGTAGAGGCTGTAAAGATAGATCGGTGGACATGGTCAGTGAACCTGTCCTCTCCTGGCTCCTTTAAAACAAAACTTAACGCGTTTATTTGTCATAATTATTAATATACTCACTTGGAATATTTGTAGTCTGTCCTGGGACAGGAGTAGTGGCTGTAAAGATAGATAGGTGGACATGGTTAGTCAACCTGCTCCTCTCTCTGGAGGAAAAAAACAGCACTAAACTCGTTTATTTAACATAATTATTATCAGTATATACACACTCAGTGATCTTGGTGATTTAAGCAATCTGGGGTTCGCTATCTCAGACTATTCAACATTATTATTCATTCAAAACATTTCCCTGATTCTGATTGGCTAAAAGCACACGTTCAATTCACCATAACCAGTTACTGATGACCAAATTTGGAAGAATTTTGACTTTAACGAGGAAATGACGTCAAAAATGCAGCGTTTTCGCAGGTTAAGGCACCGTTAACCGAGAAAACCTGGGGACGAGGTTGAATTGTTTTGGTTGTGAACTTGAAAAAATGGCGGACATTTCACTCGTTTCAAGAGTAAGAACTACGCGAAAAAATAGGTAGAAACATGGCCAGAACAGCAAGAAGACAACTCGAAGGGCGACATCTGCTATTTGGAGAATATTTGTGGAGCTGGACAAACCTAAACGTGCACTATCGAAGATGAACTGAACATCGATGGATCGATGGAGGTAAGCATGTTTTAGCTATGTTTTTAAACTAGGAATTATTTTGAATGAATAATAAAACAGTTATTGAATTCGGCTTTCGTATCATATGAAGAATTATGGAGATCTCGGGGGTGATATCCGCCTCGGCCTACGGCCTCGACGGATAACACCCTCCTCGATCTCCATAATTCTTCATAAGATACTCCGGCTCCTTCATTAACTGTTAAATATTCACCTCCTGGCGAGTGGATAATGTGTGAGCTCGGTGTTTTTCCCACTTTTTTTAAAGAATAATCTTTTAAAAGTCGACAAAATCCTAGGGCTGACTTTTTTTAAAGCAAGAAAAGACTTGGAAGGATTCAATACAGCGTTTTTCAATTTGCTGTAGCTGAGTTTTGTGCTCAATAGCTCTCAATGGATTGTTTACAACTGCCGTGTATTCGCGTAGAAGAAGCCGTTTCGAGAACTCAGCGTTTTTTAACAAGAAAATTTTGGCCCAAAAATCGAAGTTTATTTATGACAAACAAAGTTAAAAGGAAATGTTTGCAGAAATTCTACGTTTCAAGTAAACTGGAAAAGAATGATAGAGAAAGACGACGTCTTACCTCGAGCAACCGAGCCGCTATTTTTGCCAGCACTTCATGCGAAGAACGACACAACAAACCCTTTTGGCTATAAACTTAGCGAGTCAACAGAAAACAACAAAGCTCTACCTTTCTTCTCAGGTAAGGAAACAATTCAAACTTTTAGCGGTTCCATTTAAGCCATTACGCCGTTGTTTGCGAAATGATAAAATTATGCAAAGATCTATTTTTAAACTTACGCGTGATTTGATCTGTCAATCAAATCGTACTTTTTAATGGTTTCCTCTCTGATTTTGTTGAGATCACATCGTGTGTATATACTAAAACAATTATTCTTTTCAATCTCGGTGAATAGTGGCTTTGGGAATATTTACCTCGCCGCTTTCGCGGCTCGGTAAATATTAAGCCACGATTCACCTCGATTTCAAAGAAGAATTGTTAAATATGCTCGCATAAAATTGACAAATGTTTTTAAACATAATTTTTTTGGAATTGAATTAACCATAAAAGTTAACGTTAAAAAAGAACGACTTGGGACCCTTCGACGGTCATTTTCAAGCTCAGGATACGAAATAAATTAAAAATTAGCATTTGGTCATACACAAGTGTGAATAGACTAATGAGATACTTCTAGATACTGACTCACTAGCTAATTTCTACTTCTTATCCTGAACTTGAAAATGACCGTCGGACGGTCGAAATGTCGTTCTTTTTGAACGTTAACTTTTGTAAAAAAAAAATGTTCTTAGGCTTTGCTCATATGAAGAAAAAGTGATTATGTGTCTTTTAGGGAAAAAAAAAAGGTGACTTAATTCTTTGCCCGACTCAACAGCGCTCGCCTATGCTCTGATTGTCTAAAATAGCGTTCGTCTGGACAGAGTTGACCCGGCTGGATGAGCAAAGGGGTTTATAGAAAGGAAAGTTGGCCGGGCTAGAAGGTTGAACTTACCATCGAAAAAGGGTGACAAAGCAAGGCAGATCACCATTCTGGCCAGGCCAACTTTTTGTCTCTCATGTAAACGGCTCGCCTCGCTTTGTAAGGAAATGTTTGAAAAGTTGGCTTGCCCAGGGTAGCTCAGGTATAGGCCGGTGATGATCTTTCCAACCCGGGACATTTTTTCTCCACATTGTAATATTATCGTTGTGGCAAAATATATGAATAAATTTACGAAAAGAAAGAAAGTTGATTGTAAAAACAAAATAAAACAAAACAGACGAAAACTAAAAAGGAAGGAAATCACTTGCTCGACCAGTTCATCTGATCGATTTTATATTGTACTGACTATTCCCCATCAGTTTTAAAAGTTGACATTTACAGATGCACAGCCTTTGGCAGTGATCTTCTACGTGGCTTTTCTTTTGCATTGATACCAGGACAAAGTTTTGAAATGGATATCCGACCGTAAGTTTAGCGTTACAAGAGGTGTAAAATCGGGGCTAGTAACATCTTGCTCGGGCGCAAATGATACTCGAGTCAATTCAGAGATGCGTGAAATCAACTTGAATTGAAGGGAAAAACCCTTTTCCGCCCATTCGCCCAGATGAAACCAACGTGAATAAAATGATAAAACCCTACAAAAGTTGTTCACTGACGCACACACTACTTGAAAATTTAAAAAGTAAATAAATAAATAAAAAATAATAAAAATAGAAGAACCAAGAGTGAGAACAACAACAACCGCAAAAGCAAGAAATAAACATATTTAGTATAGTTTTCTTGACTCCACCTGAAGCTCCCTATAGGGTTTTTTATAAATCAGAAGACGAGAAGTGAAACGAGCAATGTACCCCGAACCCCAACCTTTACAGTGATAAATTGAGAAACTTTTATGAATTATCCTAAACAAATAAATTGAACCAAAACTAAGGAGTAAGTTTTCACACTTGACATCAATAGGAAATAAATAAACAAATAAATTAAAATAGGAAATAAAGAATAATAAGACATAAGGCCTGAGGTGGCCTGGCATTTTTAGAGCTCTAGGTTTAATAGGCTTACTTTTTCCCAAAATGTCAATTAGTTTCCGTGCGGTGCATAAACGATCATGCGCAGTTTCGCATTTCCTTGTCTCTTTTTGAAAAATACCACATGGCTTTGAACAACGAATACATCCTCCATGTTCTCCGTAACCTGGATCGAAGTAATGCCCCTCCGCACAGCCTTTGCACTTTGTCGGGGAAGTTGTTGTGCAGTTGCGAATAATCTTGAAGTTTCCTTCCAGGCATTCCGAGACTTCATTTACACAGCTGTCGCGTGGGAAAAAAAGTTTGTTATTATTTCTTACAAAAGTAATGGGCACTTTCAGAGCGTGTTTGTGTGGAGGGATGTCGAGGGGATGTGGAGGGGGATGGGGATGGGGAGGGGATAAAGAAGTGGGTGGGGAAGGAGAGAGAGAGAGGGATGCTTTTTATGAGGTTTGTTTTATTGGCCAGTTTGTGGCTGAGCCAGAGACTGAGCTATTGTTGTGTCGAACGGCACTGTGGGACTGTTTTAAGGACACTAATACAGCTTCCTTTATTGGCTCAGTGTCATTTTCATAAATCTAAAACTGCCCCAAATTGCGCTGCCATACTGGGGACACAACACCGATCAATTAAATAACACAACCTAAAAATGTCCAACTGTTTAAAAAAAAAAAAAAACAGGAGAGCATAATTTTACAAATCATAACTCTTCGATATATTTTTAAATTTTTGTTTTCCGACAAAGAATTACAAACCATTTAATTATCATCTTTTTTGCACCTATGCTTTCATCTTTCCTGTAAATTAGTTCTATTTGTGAAACTAGTTTGTTAAACATGATAAACGAAGAAACTTTTGCTAACTTTGAGTTTATTTTGTTTGCGTTGTGCTCACCCACATCGACGTTACCATTTAATCTAAAGTGTGGACTGAAGACCTTTTTTTTAGCTTCAATTTCAGCCATTAAACAATGAAAACTTTCAAATATTACAGACACAACTCGATACAACAGCTATCTATTAAAAAACTCAACCTTAAAATGTCCAACTGTCCAAAAAAAAATCATGATTCTAGTAATCTTCCTCTAAGGCCAATGTTCACCTATCATTTTGTGAGCGGCGTTGACTTTGAGACAGCGTTCAATTGCGAACCTACCAGTGCGCCAACAATAGACCTTTTTAGCTTGTATGTTTTGTTTTCCCGATGTAGGTCATGTGATAATAATCTAGAGGACTATTTCATTCAAATTCATTTTATATTTCCGTGCATGTGTCCAAGAGTAGTCAATCGATAAAAATCGGTATCGATTTGTCAATAGAAAAATCAATAAAAATCGGTAAATCTGATTTGATTGATATCTATTGTATCGATCGATCGGTAGAAATCGATGACACACTCGTTTCGTTTATCGATTTATCTTGATTTTTACCGATTTCATTGATTCATATCGGAAGAAACATCAGTCTGTTCATCTGTTCATCCAAAAATTAAAACAGAATTTATGCAAACCGTGATTTATCGACAACTGAGTGGCAATTGAAAGGCAAAGGATCAAAGATTTTTATTTATCACTATATTGTTTATCAAACATTATCACTTATAAAGAAATCTCTACAAAGATCTTATCCTTTCTTTAAAACCAGGTTTAAAATCTTTTCCTGATGTCTGATATTGGTCAGGTCTGAAAGCGCTCAGTTTTTCAGAATTTAGATCTACCACACTTTCAAAATGACATCGGTGTAGATCCCGTCGCAGTTACACCCCGGATTCAATTCAAGTAATTTTTATCGATTGATATCGGAAAACAGTGGAAATCTATCGACGAAACTCACCGCTCTTTTCGTCTGAATTCCGACTAGAAGGAATGTCTGAAATTTAGGCTAGGAAATGTTTATCTAAGGATGGATTTCTCATGATTCTTGCCTGCGAGAAATGAATGTAATTGGGTTTTAGAGAGAAAGTTCTGTTTGTAACCACATCCCTCATTTTCATGTTTGCTGTTCAGTTGTTACTCGTGGATGTGTTCTTAGCTGTACTATATAACTCATGCCAAAACACAACAATGGCGGACTTTCGTTATAAATCGTTAAAAACAATGAAAAATCGATAATATCGATTTGACACAGCAATTCAGTTTATCGATTTTCACCGATTTCCGTTATCAATCGATAAAAATCACTTGATTGCTACCGATTTTTATCGATTGACTACTCCGGAATATGCACTCATAATTTGGGAAAAGTCAAACGGGGAATTCCCCTGAGGCCTTTAAACATAAAAGCTAAAGAGGTCTATTAATTTTATTAACTCTTATTTTTCGAAAGTAAACCACAAGCACAGCTACTGCGTGTAGATTAACTTACTCCATACACTTCTCCATACTCGTGTTATTCGACCAATCGTATCCAGGCCAACACTCTTGACACTCTGTGTCTTGCTTTTCGCCACATTTAGTTTTCACTCCGTACCCTGGCCCACACTTGGTGCATAAGATACATGACGTACCATTCCAATAATGATGGGCGGACGGACAGCTAGTTGACGTTGTAGCCAACTGGAAGAGAATATGAAATTGGACAAAGTAAGATTTTGATTCAGTTTGTAAGGGCCAATTCACCGTTCAAGACGACCTTTAAAGACAAAATGAGAGATTTTTGATTTTTTCTCGATAGCATGCCCTAACGTTATGTAGGCTTGATTTTCGCCGTTCTCTAGGTCCTCCCAAAGAACAGACGACCGTTTGTTCAGAGGAGCGTGGAGTAATTTCCCGAATAGTGGTAATCGAGCCGAACCGATATGGAAGGTACGTTTTTCACTTGGGGGCCTAAATGTAATAAACGGTCCTAAATGTAATAACAATTTGCCCTAAATGTAATAAACTCTTAAGCTGCCAATTACAGTAATTACTCGAAAAGCTCCGCCCTCAAATAAGCGCCGCATTTGGGGGGCGTTGGGGAGTTAATTAGCGCCGCGGCGCTTATTCGAGTAAATATGGTACTAAGCAGTATTGCTATGGTATTAAGCTCCGCTCTCAAATAAGCGCCGCATTTGGGCGTTGGGGAGTTAATTAGCGCCGCGGCGCTTATTCGAGTAAATACGGTACTAAGCGGTATTGCTATGGTATTAAGCTCCGCTCTCAAATAAGCGCCGCATTTTTGGAGAAAAAAGTTAATAAGCGCTGCGGCGCTAATGAACTCCCCAACGCCCCAAATGCGGCGCTTATTTGAGGGCGGAGCTTAATACCATAGCAATACCGCTTAGTACCATATTTACTCGAATAAGCGCCGCGGCGCTAATTAACTCCCCAACGCCCCCCAAATGCGGCGCTTATTTGAGGGCGGGGCTTATTCGAGTAATTACTGTAATTGGCAACTTAAGAGTTTATTAAATTTAGGGCAAATTGTTATTACATTTAGGACTTTATTACATTTAGGACCGTTTATTACATTTAGGCCTTCTACACCCTCCCACTTCCTGGAATGGATTAATGCATGACCCTTCAGAAATACCCAAACAAAAACATCTGACCCTCCCCCCTACCTATCCAAGACAAAAATAACCGAAACTGAAAAAAACAAACTGGAAGTGTTACTCACATAACCGCGTTCATCTGCGCACAAAGTAGTTAATTGCGTGGCGTGTGATTGTACGGTGAAAACTTGAAAATTGGCAATGATGTACGAAGAATAGAAAGATGGGTCAGATGGAGCAACTTGTGGCTATTGTGGCTGTTTGCCGACTCGCCATTCTAAAAAGGATGCCCGCTACTCCTCTGACTCTGTTGGTGGCACATCGGCTGCGGGAACAAGTGAAAGTGCATGTCCAGAAAAGTGGAAAGATGAAGACCTAGGGTGGTTCCCGGAGTTGTCGGTTCAAGCCCGAGTAGCTGAAGTGAACAATCCTCACCGGAGACTGATTTTATACCAGAACCCTGCTCGGAAACATCAAATTATAGGCGAAAGCGGACACGGGTTGAGAGAGACAATTATGTTAGTTGGAAGAAGATAGTTTTTTGATCTATAAATTTTTGGACGCCTGTAAATAATTTAGATTAATCTTGACTGTTAGCTTTGCTTGTATATACAAAATAGAAGCGACATGGAGTAATTTTTTCATTGCCAAAAAAACTGTGACCCTCCCCCGTTTGAGAATAAAATAGGTTCGACCCTCCCCAATTTGTAAAAATTTACTAAGGACCCTCCCTTTCGAACCCCCTCCCCCACCCCGTAAAAAACGTACCTTCCCTTATCTTGCAGTGTTAGCACCTGTATGTTACCTTGTTAAGACCTTGGGCAGCATACACCTACCCGAAATTTATGGTAGTACAAATAGGCTTGAATTGTGTTCATGGTTTTCTGAGTTTTCTGCCTTCAGCAGAGGCTTAGTCGTTTTTCGCAATACTGAATTATCCCGCTAGCCTCTAGACGATTAAAAACTAAATTAAAATAGATGTATTTATTACGAGCAATGAGTGGTCATAAGATGAAGAAAAACACGTTATATTTCGGAGCACATGCAATATATTTCTTCGCTACGGACGCATATCAATACGTACAGTCCGTGTGGTATTGACCTCGACTCTACTTGACCTGTTTGGTAGCGCGCATAAACAAGAGAGAATCAAATATTAATAAACCTGTATTTTTTGTATCTTCAGAGCAAAATAAAGGTCTTAGGATCATCTCGGGCAAAAATGAAGTTTTTCTTTTGAAAAATTTTAACATTTGATAGATCATACATTTATACAGTATTCCATTTCCAATATTACTTTACGCATACAAAATGTCAATAGTCAATTTAAAAAAATCTTTGTGAAAAAGCAAAAGCAGACACGCGAACGCCCAACTCAAGGCGGGGGGGGGGGGGGGATCATTTATAACAGAAATGACCGTTTTCATACTAGAGACGGATTATTCGATTCGTGTGAGATGGGTTATCCGTTTGATAATTCGCGTCAGATAGGTAATACGTCTTAATTTGAAATGGAAAGGGTCAGGAGCCTATCAAATTTGATGGGCTCCTGAAAGGGTTTTAATTTTGAATGACCAATCCGCCTGATTTTATCCGTCAATTTTGACGGACAGTTTGAAGCTGGATTATCCGTTTCAGAAAGCCTGTGTACAGCCGACCCCTCCCCTCAGAAAAAATGGAGAGGGGGTGTCTGTGGGGGAAGGGGCGACTGTACACAGGCCAGTCTCAGACGAATAATCCATTTCTAGCTCTAGTTTGAAAACGGCCAATAACAAAATTCCCGTGTCTAGTGTTTTTATTGATAACGAAGGACTGTACAGAAAGACTGAGCAGTCTGCCGTTCTTGTACATAGGCCTCATTATTCAGCGCGGCTAATGCGTTTCGGGTCACGTGGACCGAGCAAGTTTTTTCTCAGTTACGCCACCCGAATGCCTTCACCGAGATTGAGTGGGCGGACGGGGAACGGGGACTAGGCATCGCAATGTCTACCTTAGTGTCAGAGAAAAACAGGGAATTGTTACAGGTTATTGTTGTTTATCGGCAACGAGGTTTACAAACAGTGACATCTCTGGGTGTTGTTTCACTAGTATTTCGAAGGCACGACCTCCTGTGCAGTCCTGAAAATCGCTCATTTTAATCCCCAGCAAGAAGCCAGATTTATGCTATGGAAAAAATTGATCCCCCGAGAGAGCGGCGGAAATGCAGTCTAGGTCTAGATCACAACTAAAGGGCGGATGCGGATCTCAAAACAAATGACACAACAAACATGGAAATGACTTGTTTTTGACAAGATGATTTAAGCGGTGAAATAGTACATATAACAGATAATGTTAGCTAGAAGACAAGGAAAAAAAATCAGTCCACTGGGTGTAAAATTGTTTAGCCTGACATTTTATATAAGCGAACGGGAATGACATATTTATTTGTTCTGGAGCGAAGATGCGATCAACAGGAGTGTGAAAGAGCTATTGCAGCCTGACGATGGGATTTCGTTCAGCGAAAAGCGAATAAGCCAAAGAGCCTTATAATCAATGCAAAAAAACTGTCCTCGAATTGTTAAAGCGACATTGAGGAGTATCTGTTGAGGTTTATTCAGTTATTTGGACGAATCGGTTTGACCATTTGTCTTCGTATGCAAACAGGGAATGAATTAATTAATGTTGTGTCAACTAGAAGTCAAGCACAGGTTTTAGAACCAACAAGCGTTACGCTATTTTGCTTGAATTCTTAGGTGATCTTTGCCTTAAAGTAGGCTTTTGTTTGTCGGTCATTCCATTTAGCAGTGCTATTAATGTAATTTCTTCAAGAAATGCTGCGTATAAACACGTCTCTGGCGAAAGGCAATCGGATAGTTCGACTGCGTTTAAATTACTTGGCTAGGTCAGAGCACTGCTTTGAGCTTAATCCGTTTTACATGTATTAAAATAATTTTTAGCTCGAGTTAATATCAAAAGCGCGTTCTAAAGCAGTTCAATTTAGCCATAAACGCCTGTATTCTGTACTTAATAGAGCTCGCACTGCATATACCACAGGCAGCCCAAGCGCACTATTTGTGGGTTCGGGCTTCAGAGGTCATTTGGTCGGAATATACTAGAATTATTAGTGTATTATCGACCAAATGACCTCTGAAGCCCGAACCCACAAGTAGTGCGCTTGGGCTGCCTGTGCATATACTAACCGTTACGTACTCATCATATGGAAACATTTATTTGAAAGCATCGCACTTTTAAAACCACGGTTTAAATTAAACTCATGTATTTGAAACTTGACTATTTTACAAGAAAGTGCACTGTCGTTCGGAAAGTGTTTGACAATCACATGAGAAAGCAAACTATTTTACAACTAGAAGCGTTAATAATTGCTTTTAAAAGTGATCTTTTTTTTGTAAGTAGAAATGCTGCGCTGATAAAAAGTTTCTAGAATATTCAGGTACACATGCAATGGGATACTTCGAGTCACGCTGTATTTTGGCAAGTACACAATGAACCGTTCAAAAAGATTTATATGTTTTTCTTTGCTTATTGAACTGTCTTTTCTACACTAATTCAATTCATCCATGAGCTCGCTCCTAGGAGCCTTTGATTTTTTCTAGTTCTGTTTGGTCACATGAACCGTGATGTTAGGCTGTTGTGGGCATGTCTCATATTATCTCAGTCGTTAGAGATGAGACCTTTATTACACTTGGGTCCAGTTATTACACTTGTGCCTTCCACAAGTTCCACCTGACAGGAAATACGAATTGCTACAACGCAGGCTAGGGCGAATTTGACCTATAAGCAAGGAAACATTTAGCCTCCTTTGGTGGCATTTTAAGGGGAATCATATTTCCCCATATTTCTTCCCTTACCTGAGACCAAGATATGTGTCATTTATACCAGTCTGTAAATAAAGGGAAGGGCAAATCAGAAAATTGAGGCTAACGTTGCTGAGATCAAAGGGGAAAAAATAATTCTCAGTTTTCGTTTGAGGTGAAGGAGGAATTACGAATCCCAGTAAAACGTCTGCTTATCAAGTCCAAGATTGTATCGGCGGAAGAGGCACCTTTGCCCTCAAGCGAGGGCAAAAATGAAACAGTCCAAAGCTAGTTTTATTTCATAAATGTTTTAGCGCACAGCGTAGACGAATGTCTTCCCTCCTTCCCAAACGTGCGGGTCAGAATTACGTGGCGTAACATAGTTTTACTTTGTATGACTGCACTGAAGCTGGTTTGCCCGTGGCGGTTCGACAGTTGTTTTCGTTTTGCCGAGGCAAAACGAAATTGTAACAGTTATAAGTTCAAATTCTTCATTCGCTTCCTTCTGGAGGTCTTTCCGAGGAACCTTCTGAGAAGTTTTATGGACTCTTCAACTAACACAGTCAGGTGGGTATCGTTGGATGAAAAATTGTTAATTCATTAAATCGCATAAATAGCTGCATAGAATTCAGAAAACGGAACAGATTACTCGTGACTTTTGTTGTATTTTTTACCTCTTTGTGGACTTTTTGACACTTAATGCTTTAACTCAGCTTTATTTTAAAAAACCTATAGGTTCTAGGTTTGGCGCCTACCGTAAATCGCATTTGGTTGTGCTTGGGTCAGACGTCACGTTTGTTCGCCCGTTGTTAGTGTAACATTTACATTTGCTTCCTTTTGTCAGCGCTCGTGATTTCTTTCACCCAAAACTTTTATTTCGCTAGTGTGAAGAAAAAAAATGCTCTTTCAGGCTAAACAAGCCTTGGTGTTGAAAGCCATGTACCAAACGGCTTTTTTACCTATTGAAAAAGTGCTAAACTTTGACGGTTGATTAAGCGATTTTGAGTCAACAACTTTGAAAATTTCTTTAAAAATCTCTTGTTGACCAAATCGAGAACAATCAGTCAAAATTACAGAGGAAAGATTGTAAAAATTTCGCATGATTATTGTTGCCCATTTTAGGCCTATGGAAGTAAAAAATTCGTTAAAAAAAATATTATTCACTCGATCGTACTTAAACCAACGATTTTGTAAGTAGGGCCCATAGGCTTTATTCTGGCTGAGTTTGAGGCCAGGTAATTTTTTGACTTTTTCCGCGTCTAGTTGATAATTACGCGGAGCCGCTCTTAAACTCCACATCTAAAGAGACGAAGAGCGTGTGAAACTAAACTGAACGCAGAGTGAGCCTGCTCGCGGGCCGAGGGCGTAGAAAAATTCCCCTTTATCTTTCTTGGTTGTCGCTCAGTGGAACTGAAAATAACACTTGCCCGAGTTGTGTCTGGTCGAATAATATTGAAAACATAAACTTACCACTTGAGCTTCAATTCCGAGAATAAAGATTAAAATGACAACCATGATTTTAATGCCTGTGGAGAATACTAACACGATCTCGTCGCCAACTAAACGTTATCTGGATGGTTACACCAATTCGTCTGCACCTATTTTATCGCGAAGCACGTTCATGCGCTTTTATATATTCCACAGACTTCTTCGCCCAATGAAAATACGAATTTAAGGGAAATTCCCTTTTGATTTTTTCCCTTGAGTTTCGAAATTTCCATACTTATGAGGAAAACGGCCCAGGTTTAAATACCTCCAGCCAGCAATGCTTGTTTGTTTGTAAATTAAACTTTTCCCGTTGTTTGTTTAAATTAAGTTTTTGGGGGTACTTTTTTTCCGTCGTTTGTGTTAATTAGATTTTTGTGGGCCCTAAGAAAATTAGAATGGTTCTTTATTTTAAAATTTGTCCTTGAAATGAAAAACATTTATTACGTAATGACCCCATCACTGGCATGATCACTCTAATCCTTCTTCTAAGTGGTTAACATGTGATGCTAACCTCCAAGAATGCTGCATCATCATTAGTTCTTTAAAAATACACGAAGCTTGTGCACGTAGTTATCACTAAGTAAGAAACTACTTTTAACCTGGTCCTTCCATTAGAAGGCTACGAAACATTTCGTCCAATGAAAAACAAAGAATGCTTATGTTAATTTCCCTTTGTCATTTCCTTTAGTCTCATACAAAGGGCGCGAAAGAATAATTTGCATTTGTCATCGGTCTTGGCAAGGGCTTGTTTATAACATGATTCTTTAGTCTTGAAATGAAATTGGTTTCTTGGTGATGTGTTTTCGGTTTTACAAACAAGATCATGAACCTTGATGAGGGTATTAGCCTGCGAAAACATCCGTTTCTCCACGCTCTTCGCCGCTGGGGACGTTTCGCGCGGAGGAACGTCTGCGCGAAACGTCCCCGTGGCGAAGGGCGAGGAGAAACGGATGTTTTCCCAGGCTATGAGGGTATATAAAAAAAACATTTATTTCGTCGCTCCATTCATTAGAGATTAAGAAGTTTTGCGAGAGCAGAAGTAGAATTAAGTAAGGGTTGATTTGAGCGTTTTCTACCCGGGGCTAAGCGGAGCGGGGGCAGGGAGAAGGCTCCTCCGGAGCTCCGAATTCCGACCCCTTAGCCTTTTATGCATACCATTGTAGAAAAGTTATACCGCTGTGGTATACCTTACAATGCTTCAACCATAATCTATTCGAAACATTTTAACTCCCTAATAGTCCTTTTGAATACCTAACCTACAGCCATTTCCCAACCCATTCATATAATTCAACCGGTCGGGACGGAATTCCCTTGTATACACTAAATATATTGTACACTGGAAGCCAAAGAGAGGCATCTCTTTCGGGCGGAACTTCCCAGTGATTAGCCGTTACCCAAGGATTTCTCGGCCATATTTAAGATCAGGCACTTCATTCGCAGATTTCTCCACAGCGCATTAGTTCTGAGCTAATATTCCCTTTGGATCTTTACATCAGCTGGGTATAGGTGCCGCTGTATTTCCTCATGTGAAGGATCCAGCGAGAAAAAAGGTCCGCGTTTACTTATAGGCATGATGTCAATTGTCCGAAGTGTCATGCTTTTATGGGTTCTGTTACGGCCTTAATCGCTCGCTTCAACTGTTAAAACGCTTTAAGGAATGACACAATCAACAAGTGTGTCTCAGAAGCAGACCAGTAACTGTTAAAACGCCTATAGGAATGACACAATCAACAAGCGTCTCTAACCAGATTAGTCATGATAGTTTTCGATTTTCTTGGTCATAATTATGTGCAACACGTGTACATCAATGTGCATCAAGCTTTCACTTAAAAACAGCATGTAGACAAAATACAATTCGGAGGTTTTGGGTTTATGTCATGTTTATGTCGTTAAGATATGTGACCAATACGGCCGATACTTAAAAACTGTCAGGGCGCGTCAGAGGTGTCTTTTAAGACAAAGCTAAGCAAGTCACTCATTAAACTCTGCCAGTAAACAGACAAATATTTCAACTTACCACCAGTTCAATAATGCTCAGAACTATCAATGAACAGATTTTGTACATTTTTGTGATTTCGTCTATTCGCAGTCAAGGAGAATTCAAGCGAGAGTAATCTACAACCTTAGTATTCTGCTGTCATCAAGCTGCATTCAACTGGTGTAACGACAGTAGCAGGAACGGACGCGTGAGTAATGCAATTACCGCATGACTCGATAAGAGATCAAAGGAACACATTCAATCCAAATATCAGAGAGAAAAAGAAAATCAAAGGGAAAGTCCCTCCGCAGCGGCGAACAATGAATGAAACGAAGTCAAGAACCTGCTTGAGCACAGACCTAACGACTCCTGAACATGAATACACACGAACGGTTAGACAAAACCTATGCATTTTCTCGCTAAAAAGTCATTTCTTTTTTGCCCGTTTCTCCACTTCAGTACTAGTATATTTTATTTAAATACTAATAAATGCATTTTCTCGCGAAAAAGTCATTTCTTTTTTCCCCGTTTTTCCATTTATTAGTATAGTTTATATAATTTAATAAATTTGTTCCTTTAACTTTCACTATTAAAGTTTTTTGCTCAAAATTTTTTTACTAGTACTAGTAAAGTTTTTTGAATACTTTGCAAATATCTGATGACCCAACCTTGAACTGTTCAGTGAACAAAGAATCAGAAAATATGGAGATCAATCAGATCAATAGCTAGAGCTGCCTAGATTTCCAGCCTGGATCACAGTTCTAATACATATATAAGCCGGTTTTCTACTTTCACAATGATCTTTCCTGTTAATTTCGTAAGTAGTTTTTTGATACAACACGAAATGCCTACCGTAGAGGTTGTAAATAATTTGTCCTGGTTTAGCGGAGGCGGGGTTAATTTGTTCGCATTCAAAAGTAGACAAAACAATTTAAAAAGACGGCTTATGGCTGGTCTACGACGTCACCTGACTGACATCACAGGGAGCCACTCAATTTCCTATGCCATCTCTGACAATAGTCGAGGCGGGCTCGTTATGATCGGGCTCGTTAAGGGTACTTTGGCCAACAATGATACGGAAAATCGATCATGATTGAAACGAGGAGTCTTCAAAGGTTCGCAAAACTATTTGTTATACCACTGTCCATAACAGTTTCCCCAATATACAATGTTTGCTTGATGCTTCCCAATACCTGCGATAATGCTCTCCACGCAAGTGCTTACATTAGAAATCGAGTTGGACAACTAAAAGGTCTATAAAATTTGAAGAAAAATACCTTTGGTCGAAACATATGCTGTAGATATCTTTTGCGTTACTTGAGCTGTTTATCATCTGTTCGCTTGGATTGCCTGTGGTATGATTGATCAACATGATGTTCTTCTTTTGAGGTAACCTGCGATCAGGCGTTTTTTTTTTCAAGAAAAAGGACTTAGACTGCTGAGTACAGTCACTATTTTTCCTCGAAAATCGTCGGATTCGAGCGCTTACCTGTAACGAACGGCCATATTCAAATGCACAGGGGTCTCCAGTCGGTATTTATTTTTTATTTATTGACGACAAAATAACAACTTTTTAAAATATATAGCACATGATAAAAAAAAAAATAATAATAATAATAAATAACGAAACTAATTACAGCCTTTTTACACACTATAAGTAATTGTATTAAGCCCGGTTCAGTCTCAAGGTCGAACTTTACAGTGTGCCGAACCTAGTTCGTGGCGAAAAGAAAGATCTTCCTGACTGCTTAAAATAGGGAAATAAACTGAAAAAAGTAAAATTTACCAAGCCTGGAAATCCTTGTTTTGATTTTAGTGTGATTTGTGTTCTGTTATGGCAAGGAGACAGCTGAGGAGATCGTGATCGTGATATTTGGACTTGGACAAAATAACTGGTGCAGACGCCATAAATTTTAAAATACATTACGGTTTCTTTATGGATATAAAGAAAAGCAACTTTTTGGACGACCGTTTTAAGCTGTCCAGTTTCAGTCTAAAAATCTTTATAACATAACAAAAGTAAATCGCGCGCTCTGATTGGTCAGTTAGCCACTACCATTTGCCCGTGGGTGCACGCTAAGAAACTGAGCTAGCGCGGTAAAATTTAGGCAAATTCAACAAATCTCCTCTCCTGACGGTAAAATACACCGATGAAATTCACAGATGAAAAATGGAAGGTGAAGAAAATACTAAGCTGTCGTTTTGAAGGAAAAAAGACAAAAGATCAAGCGACAAATTTGCCCTGCATGAATTAATCACTGTTTTCCTCGCGGCTAGAATCGGCTGGAGGAAAATCGAGCGAGCGGAGATTTAAGGTACATTTTGTGTGTTTTTTTATAGAGGAGAAAGTCTGTTTGAAATGTAAATTTATCAATTACCATTCCCTTACCAAACCATATGTATTTTGAAACTGATTTTAAAGTGTTTAAAATGTATTTTCAGTATTTGAATACTATTTTCCTGTATTTTAATCCTATTTGACAAAAAAATTTAAATTTTCGCCCCTGTTTGGAATATATCTTAAGTGTAGTTAAATTATATTTCATCAAAAGGAAAACCTCTCTCATCAATTTACAATGTATTTTGTTTAATAAATATGATTAAAATAGGGTATTTCAAATGTATTTTGGGCATAGAACCACTAACACTGTTACAAACAGAGTTCAAATAGACTATTTGAAATATGTTTTAAGGGCTTAAATGCGACTGTTTTTTAAATAATTTTAAATAGGGTGCTTTAACACTGTTTTGAGTTGCATCTACAATGTATTTTGAGGCGCATCCACTCACAAAGTTACAAACATAATTCAAATAAACTATTTAAAATATGTTTTGAGAGCCTAAATGCTGACCGTATCTTAAATACTTTTAAATAGGGTACTTTTACACTGTTTTGAGTTGTATCGAAAATGTATTTTGAGACGCATCCACTCACAAAGTTACAAACAGAGTTCAAATAGACTATTTGAAATATGTTTTAAGTCCTTAACTACTGACCGCATTTCAAATACTTTTAAATAGGGTACTTAAACACTGTTTTGAGGTCTATTTGAATTGTATTTTGGGCACACAACACTCTGACTATAAAAACAGATTGTACATAAAATATTTAAAGTCTGCTGAAAGACATCAAATGCTGACCTTATTTTAAATACTTTAAAATAGGGTACTTATTACTTATTATTATTGAGGTGCAATATTGTAATGTATTTTGGGATACTTATACTCAGACTATAAAAGTAACAATTGCACAAAGTTAATTTTTAAGCCTTCATCTTGTCACGAACTCATAAATGACTCAAAACAAGCTGTCATATTGTGGACCGGATTCTTCTCTCAATAAAGCTCGAGGCGGAGCCAAAAATTAAATCTCCCAGCAAATCAAAAAGAAATTGAAAAAAGAGAAGAAAATTAGGAATAGATTTTAGCTTTGACTGACAACATGTAACTGTGACAGTGTGCCGATAAAGGATCAATCCGTTCCTCAATGTTCATTACCTGCAAGCTCTCTGCGAAAATCTCCGCCTAGATTTTAACCGTGATTCAATTAATGCAGCTACGGGACATTCCATAAGTTTTTTTAAAAGAAAATTCTTAAAATCACATTTTAATTTTCATGTAGAAATTTTTCGCAAACAGCCGAAGCCGCGGGCCGAGAACCGGATGCACGCGGTCAATTGAGATTTGTCTAAAATAAGTCCTTGAAATTTCATAATAATTAAAACAAACTATCCAAGCTAAGATCTCACCTCGTATATATTGCACTAAGAAACAACGCTCAGATCTGAATAAACTCCGACATATGGTTATCTTTCTCTCATAGACTATTCCGCACATGCATGGCATATTATTTTTGAGATGTCACGCGCGACTGAAATCACGACTTCGCGCCGCAGTGATGTGACAAATGCACGTGATAAGCAAACCGTCCTTTGTCCTTTGGTCATTTCAAATTATTGAACCGGCGGTTGCTCCCGGGCGGTTGCTGTGAGCTTAAATGCGCTTGATTTTACTGTTTGTTACGATCTTACAAAAGTACACTCCAACTCTGCGGATTGTCGGAACACGTAGATGTTGCTTTTATCACGAATCAAAAATGGTTATGACTCCGCAGCGACTGTTATGTACTTTGAAAGGTTCTGGTTCAGGAGAAGAGTCCAACAGTCTAATTGTAAGTATTAAATATACAATGTTACTAAGACGCTTAGATATACGCCATATGAGAAACAAATGAAGGGTAGTAAACATTTATATAGTCGCGCCCGTACGGCAATTTTACTTTTTACAGGATTCCTTGCAGAGACTCGCTGTTTTGTATAAATGATCTCAGTCACTTGATGTCACGTCACCGGCCTCTTTCATTCTCGCGTAAATTTATTCGTATGCTGTTCTTTATCAGCCACTAATTAATGTTCAGGCGTAGCCTGCATTAAGCTTCTGATGATATTTGAGTAAAGCCGTGAATATAATAAACAATGTAAGTTACATGCATGTAGATTAATATTTACAGATATTTACCGGTAACGTCAGTAACGTTATACCCTTTTGAAGCCAAAGGTTGATAGCCTGTGTACATACCCCCCCAATCTCCCCTCCGAGTTTTATTGAGGGAAGGGGTCTGTACACAGGCTAAAGATTGATTTGAGCATTTCTGAAAAATTCCATAAGAATCTCCCGAGAATTCTTAGGGAAATCAACGTAAAGTAATCGGCTAAGAGATAATTCTCTTGAAGTCTTAGCCTAGGACTGTGTGGAGAAATTTCGCCGAGGTAAATCTTGCTTTTTCAGGGTAATTTTCGACGGTTTTGTATTCATTTTATTTCATGAATTTAAATGGTATTTCCATCCTGTTTTTGTACTATTTTTATGCTCTTTCGACCGATTTTTATACTGTTTTCAGACACCTCTAAGGCTATGTTCTTACAATTTTATACTGTTTTTGCATTTTTGCATCCTATTTTTGATGTATTTAATTCATAATATATGTGTGCTATTGCTTTTCTTCTTCTGTGGTATTTTAATACTGTTTTCAAAGTATTTTTATTGTATTTGCAAATACGAGTATTTTACTAAATTTCGAAACCGATTAAACAGCTATTAAAATATATTTTGAAGCATAACATTTTAATAGCGTTTTAAACAGGTTAAAACACCTTTAAAATCAGTCGAAAAATATATCA